CTCGATTGGCGTGAAATTTGTGATGGAAAAATGGATTGTATAAGTGGAGAAGATGAACAATGGTGTGATCAACTAGAAATGACTAAATGTAGTGATAATGAATATCGATGTCATTATGGTGGTCAATGCATTTCATTGAATTTTTACAAAGACAGTAGACTTAGTATTGATTGTCTAGATGGGAGTGATGAACAAGACTATTTTATGCATTTTGCTTCGTTGGTCAATGCACATTGCACAAATGTTCAAACATTTCGATGCCAAGAACGTACTGGTCGATATCCATTGTCTTTTCAATGCGGTGATGGGCAATATTCGCTTTTCTTTGGTGTACCTAGTCGGATAAGTATTTGTTCGAATAATCGAGATATAGCATTATCTCGTGCCATTCTTACTTCATTCAATCATATCTCAAACATTGATTGCCGAGAAGCATTTTTTTGTGCTCTTTACTCCAATCGAACACGAGATACAGGTAAGAATGCGGCAAAAAGAAGCAGATATCGTTAAAATATATTTTTAAGTGGATAGATTTGTAATTTTGGAGAATATATCGCAACAAGTTTATACCAATGTAGAGCTTATTGAAAAGGAGTGTACCGTCATGATCAAATATGAACTAGATTGCTGATCTTTGAAAAGTATATAATTTCAGAGGAATTAAGTGTTATGATATTGAAGATTTGAGGTATACGAAGAAGAGAACGTTTTCATGTTTGAAGAAAATTGTTAGTAATCAGCATCCTGAGAAATAACTACGGTTTGGACAATAAACTCATGAAGTTTGTTATTTTCCAATCACATCAACTTATTATTAAACAATGACAAAAGTTAGTAGTTTTGAAAACAACACAAGCCATACAATGCATTTATTTTTTGTTTTCTCTTCGTATCTTTGAACTGTTTTCTATATATCTATCTTTTTCTTGTCGTTAAAACTAGGAATAGTTTGAGTCCCTCTCCAGAAAAGAGACGCCATACTAAACATAATAATTTTAATTTAGAAGACGAAGGAAAAGAATGCTGTCTTTCAGGTATCTTACGATATGGCATGCTTTCTAAAAGCAGATTCAATAGTCCAATATCTCACCTACAGTTGATACTAGCTGTAGCTCTGGATAGGATCCCCGCCTGATGCAGAGCTCTTGCGGTCAGTTTCTTGAGTTTCCCATACATACTAACTAACTACACGCCAGCCATAAGAGCTGGTGTATGCCATCACGTAGTCTACATCTTGTCGAACGGATGATTTGAGATACATAACCCTCAGTAACTTGCCGCGGATCACTTCATAGTTGGGAGCATTTAAGTTTGCAAACAGTACTTTGTGAGCATATGCTGAATAACGTAGCCCCTCAACCATAGAGACTATCTTTATTTGCATAGATTATTATTTCAGGTCACTACGAGTCAAATTTCTGAGATCCAATCCAAGGCGTACTCTAATATATTCTAATAGATCCCGTCTTTAATTATATGTATCTCAATAAAATATTGATCTTATGCATCAGATGTAGCTAAATGCTGAGCCCTTTGGAATAACATTTTCACGCACTATATACACTCCTTTGAAAACAGAGGCTTAATAACAGAATAAAAGACTAGAATATTTCCTAAGAATTTCCGAAAAATCTATTCAGGGTATGGCAGTAAAAAGTATATAACGCTTGCTTAAAAACAAGTAACCACATGAAAATTGCAAAGTTTTCTTGAATTATCATCACCGTTCAAAAAGTGTCGAATAATAAAAAATTCATCTTTTCAATTCTTCAGAATGTCTTGAGTTTTCAAATAGCTGAATAGAAAAACATGAGAAAACTTGTCAGAAAATCTTGAAATCTCTGACTCAATATATCTTAATCTATTCAAAAAACATTCATTCATCTTCTATTCTAAAATACGTAATACTTTTATTGTACTTTCAACATTTGTACGGTTGAGAAAAAAAAGGAATATCTCAATCAAAGTGTATTGCAAATAATATATGTTCTGGTATCTTCTTTCTTATATATGCTTAAATATTTCAGGACAATCCATTCCTACACACACAGTACAACTTCAATCAATTGTTGACCATGTTTGGGATAAAGATTGTGAACCTTTATCTAAACATTGCTCAATGGAATGGATAGTCATGCCTGAACATCCTTTGATGTTTGGATTCTTTCAATTTGTCTATTTGACTAATCGATCGATTGATGAATTTAAGAAAAGTGCTACACCTGATTTTATATGCTTCGATGCACAAAAATGTCCTGCATTATTGTCTACCATAATTACCATTAACATAATTGATGGTCTCACATGTTGCAATATTTCTAGTCTGGTAAATGATGTCGAATTTTTGGATTTTTATCAATTACTATCATCTATCTCGTCTATCAGCAAGATGTGTTTAAAAGCAGGTATAGAAAAATAATGCACTAATTCATCTTATTTTCACTGTAATCAATCCTTGAAATGTATTCCATATCATCGCGTTGGAGATGGAATGGTCGATTGTTTTGGTTTTGAAGATGAATCACTCGCTGCATGTCATTTGAATGATTCAAATCGATTTATCTGCGAATCAGATCCAAACACATGTCTATTACCTGTCGCAGTTGGTAATGGACACTCAGATTGTCCTCTAGAAGAGGATGAATTATATGCATATACATCTAGTTTAGTAAAATTAGTGCCGTTTGGAAATCTATGCAATGGTATCCTTCATTACGAAGCTTCGCCATTGGGTGACATAGAAACTGACGAAACCAATTGTGAATGGTGGCCATGTAATAATCCATATACCCGTTGTGACGAACTTCAGCATTGTTTAAATGGTGTTGATGAATTGAATTGTCCTAACAGTCAATGTTCCTCAAATGAGCATGAATGTGAAAACGAATTACTTGGATTATCCTATTGCTTACCTATCAATCATATATTCGATAAATATGTCGATAATTGTAGTGATCCATTCATTTCTCGCCAAATCTATTTTTATAATGGAACAAAGAACATCAGTAACGATTACTTATCATGGAACAATGCTAAATGTGCTGCTTCACATGAAATTTGTCGAAGTTCTACTTTTTCATCCATACCAAAGATACAGCCAGATGTATGTCTTCATGAATGCACCCAACCAAATTCGATGTGTACACAAGCTGTTCACCTTATTGAAAATATTACTTATCTATGCTATCTCAAATCAAGAAGAAGTTCTTATAATTTTCCCGATCTATTTTTCATACCCACACGATTTGGTGATTTTCCTTCAATAACAACTAATTGTTCTATTCCAATCATTCCTAAATATAATCAAGAAAGAAAACTTGTTTCAGAGATTGATGCTACTTTTAATTCCTATTGTTATCGTGGAATTGCTGTGTTATATGGTATTAATCAAACGAAAATATGTTTTTGTCCACCTAATTATTTTGGTCTTCAATGTCAATGGCAAAATCAACGTGTTAGCTTAACTCTTCAGTTTCTTCGAGATGGTACTACATCTAGTAATGTTATATTTCAAGCAATTATTATGCTTATTGATGAAAATGGACAAATTACACCTTATTTTGAACAAATTACATATATGCCTTCTCGTGATTGTGATACAAAATTTAATATCTATTTACTTTATCCAAATCGACCAAAACATATCTCTAGTAACTATTCAATTCGTATTGATCTTTTTGAAAAAACAANATACCCCGACGTGCTTTGTTGATTCCACTATCTTAAAATTAACAAGAAAAATCACCAACTGAAATTAAACATAAAAGAATAATATTTTCATACTCATTTCACGTTCACTTGGTAATACAGCTATTGCTGCATTTGACAACATCGCTTTTGCACACTCTTCATCATAGATACGTGGAATAGGTGTTGTTTCGTTAATTGCGCGTTGTTTGACTTTTTCTCGAAATTCACGAACTTCAAGTTTTTCTTTCTCTGGAAGGTGATTATGATCACCAATCGTTTTAATCAATTTACTATTTGTATCTGTATGTATTTTAGCCGAACAACCATTAAGTGTACATATCCAATATTTGGTAGTAGTTGTTATTTTACTCAATTTGAAAACATATTCGTCTGCTATTAGCAAAGGCTTTCCTTTATGTGAATTTATAAATGAAATAGTTGGAGGTTTTGCTTCAGTTAAATCTGATGAAGATGGAACAGCTGCAGCCATGAAGATAGAATTTTAGTTATATAATAGTTCTTTGTTCAACTCTTTTAGCTAGTTCATATCAGATATTAGTCATCCCCATTATTACTGGTTTAGAATCTAGACTAGTAGAATCATAAGAAAAGCAACAATAATTCGATATTTATTTTTCGACATTTTTCCTCTACTATATTTTTCCTTTCGACATTTTTCGTTTCGACATTTTTCCTTTCGACATTTCTCCAGCACACCCTTACTACCATCCTTATTATTTAGTTGTTCTTAAATATTTTAGACCAGTCTGATCTTGAGGACATGACAATTGAATCAATTGTTGATCAAGTTTGGGATAAAGATTGTGAACCTCTATCTAAACATTGCTCAATGGAATGGATAGTCATGCCTGAACATCCTATGATGTTTGGATTTTTTCAATTTGTCTATTTGACTAATCGATCGATTGATGAATTTAAGAAAAGTGTTGCACCGGATTTTATATGCTTCGATGCACAAAAATGCCCTGTATTATTGTCTACCATCATTACCATTAACATAATTGATGGTCTCACATGTTGCCATCTTTCTAGTCTGGTAAATGATGTCGAATTTTTGAACTTTTATCAATTACTATCAGCTATTTCGTCTGTCAGCCAATTGTGTTGGAAAACAGGTATAGAAAAATCATGCACTAATTCATCTTATTTTCACTGTAACCAATCCTTGAAATGTATTCCATATCTTCGCGTTGGAGATGGAATAGATGATTGTTTTCATTCTGAAGACGAATCATTCAATGCATGTCATCTGAATGATTCAAATCGATTTATTTGTGAATCAGATCCAAACAAATGTCTATTACCCGTCGCAGTTGGTAATGGACATCCAGATTGTCCTCTAGAAGAGGATGAATTATATGCATATACATCTAGTTTAGTAAAATTAGTGCCGTTTTCAAGTTTATGCAATGGCCACACTAGTTACGGAGCTCCTTCATTGAACGTTATAGAAACCGACGAAACCAATTGTGAATGGTGGCCATGTAATAATCCATATACCCATTGTGACAAACGTTACCATTGTTTAAATGGTGTTGATGAATTGAATTGTCCTAACAGCCAATGTTCCTCAAATGAGCATGAATGTGAAAATGAATTACTTGGATTATCCTATTGCTTACCTATCAATCATATATTCGATAAATATGTCGACAATTGTAGCGATCCATTCATTTCTCGCCAAATCTTTTTTTATAATGGAACAAAGAACATAAGTAACGATTACTTATCATGGAACAATACTAAATGTGCTGCTTCACAGGAAATTTGTCGAAATTCTACTTTTTCATCAATACCCAAGATACAGCCAGATGTATGTATTCTTGAATGCGCCGAAGTAAAATGGATGTGTACAGGAGCTGTTTACCTTATTGAAAATATTACTTATCTATGCTATCTCAAATCGAAAAGTTATTATATTGTTCCCAATCCATTTTTCACAACCACACGATTTGGTGATTTTCCATCAATAACAACTAATCGTTCTATTCCAATTATTCCTAAATATAATCAAGAAAGAAAACTTGTTTCAGAGATTGACGCTACTTTTAATTCGTATTGTCATCGTGGAATTGCTGTGTTATATGGTATTAATCAAACGAAAATATGTTTTTGTCCACCTAATTATTTTGGTCTTCAATGTCAATGGCAAAATCAACGTGTTAGCTTAACTCTTCAGTTTCTTCGAGGTAGTACTACATCTAGTAATGTTATATTTCAAGCAATTATAATGCTTATTGATGAAAATGGACAAATTACACCTTATTTTGAACAAATTACATATATGCCTTCTCGTGATTGTGATACAAAATTTAATATCTATTTACTTTATCCAAATCGACCAAAACATATCTCTAGTAACTATTCAATTCGTATTGATCTTTTTGAAAAAACAAAATTAAATTATTGGGCTAGTTGGTATTTACCGATATCATTTCTATTTTTACCTGTTAATAGAATTGTCACTCAATTATTTATTCCTGATGTACAAGAAACAAGATTATGTTCTTTTTCATGTGGAGAACATGGTAAATGCATGAAATACATAAATAAAAAATCATTATTTTTTTGTCAATGTAATCAAGGATATTATGGTAGTCGATGTGAAAAGTCATATGAATGTAATTGTGCAAATGATTCATATTGTCTTGCTCCATATATATGCATATGTCCATTATATAAATTTGGTTCTTATTGTTACTTAAAACATTCGATTTGTCATTTATCAAATAATCCATGTCAACATAATGGACTTTGTGTGCCAAATGATGATCGTATTGATTTAAAAGGATTCACTTGTTTCTGTTCACAAGGTTATTCAGGTGATAGATGTGAGAATACAAATAATCAGATTGATATACATTTACATGATACAATAGTAAGACAAACTTCGTTATTATTTATACATTTTATTACATCATTTAAAGATGCTGAACATCAAAGAATAACTGTTTTGAAAAAGATTCCATATAATCGAAATATTTTAACACTATATGTCTCACAACCATTTAATATTCTTCTTCTTCAAATACCAAATCAATATTATTATTTAGGAATACTTCGAGAAATATTTATACCTTCTGAATATATTTATACTGAAATAAAATTAGATCAACGTTGTTTCTCTATTACTGAGCTTCATAATAGTACATTAACAAACCTCGGTTATCTTCGTCGAACTAAATATTATCCACTTTTATGTCGACAATATTTACGAATGATGTGTTTTTATGATAATGATCTTATATGTATATGTGATGTTGATCGATTTTCTAATTGTTTTTTCTTTAATCATACAATGAATTATGATTGTCAAGGTCGTCACTATTGTGAAAATGATGGTCAATGTTTTCAAAATAATGAAACATGTCCAACAAAATTAACATGTGTATGTCCAAATTGTTATTACGGTACTAAATGTCAATTCTCAACTAAAGGTTTTCTTTTTTCTCTTGATCCCATTCTTAGCTATCATGTAAAACCAAATGTTTCACTTATTCAACAACCATTAATTATCAAAATAAGTATTGTTATTAGTACAATTATGTTAATTTTAGGTTTAATTAGTGGTATTTTATCAATAATAGTATTTTGTAGAGTAAAACCAAGACAAGTTGGTAGTGGATATTATCTTTTAATTTCATCAATTACATCAATATGTATGATTATTATATTAACTATTAAATTCTGGCAACTCATACTTTCACAAATGTCTTTGATAAATAATCGATCTTTACTTATGTTTAATTGCATGTCAATGGATTTTCTTCTCAAAGTTCTTTTAGCATCAAGTGAATGGCTGAATGCATGTGTAGCAATTGAAAGAATGATTAGCGTTACTAAGGGTACTCGCTTTAATAAACAAAGAAGCAAACAATTAGCAAAATCGGTTATTTTCAGTGTATTCTTTTTTTCAATAATTACACAAATTCATGATCCTATTCATCGTCAATTAATCGATGATATAGATGATGATGAACAAAGAATTTGGTGTTTTGTTGAATATTCATATTCTGTTCGAATATACAATTCATTTATTACTCTCTTTCATTTTCTTGTTCCTTTTTCAATTAATTTCATAACAGCTCTTGTTATTATCAAAAAAATAGCTCGTAGACGTTCAAATATTTATCCAGAACAATCATATCATGATCATTTTCAACGTCAAATGCATCATCATCAACATCTTTTATTTGCACCTTGTATGTTAATATTATTAGGCTTACCTCGTCTAATTGTATCATTCAGTAAAAGTTGTATGAAATCAGCACGTGAGCCTTGGTTCTATCTTATTGGTTATTTTGTTTCATTTATACCATCAATGTTGACATTTATTGTTTTTGTATTACCATCTAAAAACTATAAAAGTGAACTTCGTTTGATGTATGAACAAACGATCCGACGATTTCGTTGAATTTCATAATCTACTTATTATGATATTCAAATGAACAGATCTATATCATGAACATAGCCATGATTTTTGAAAACATTGATCTTAATATTGTCTCTAATTGTAATTCATTTATGTAACGTTGCTTTTTTTTGTAATCTGTCGCTAGTAAAAAGGCGTTATCTGAAAAACATACGATTTGAAAAAACCTTAGTTATCCTAAATACATACAGTCAAAAACAATCTACATTGTGACCATTGCCGGGATTGACGAAAATCGTTCAGTATAATAGGATGTTGATAAAAGAAAGTGTCAAGCAAATCTAAATCAAAACAATAGTGAAGGAAGTTAACAGGCGATTCGAGTTTTCGCAAAAATGGTTCATCATATTCACTATGATAACTCAGAAATGCAGTTAACCAAATACAACTCAGCGAGCTCTGTTGAATGCTACATGTGACTTTTTTGGAAAGCTGATCGGAAAAAAATAAAATTTAGAAAAATCGTTCTTTTTTTTTAAGAAAAAAGCCCTATCGGTACAAGTCGATGAGCTCCTTTATATGATGTGTTTTTCATTCGAGCAAAAATGAAATTGTCGTGACCATTATCTATGGAAAAGAGTGTAGGAGTCGCTGTCGGACTACTTTTGACACAACCTATCATTTTCTATCATTCACACCTACACCGCAACTACATTCCAAAACCTACGCCTGTACTCACGGATCTGATACAACTGTGTTGTAGTACAGTTTCTCACGAAAGGTTACGATTAGATATTTTGTCTTACAAGTACTTGCGCTCGAATACATTTGTTCTGTGCGACATATGCATGCTAGAACCGATGTTCGCTTTAACATGTCGACCTTATAGCAGATAGGAGACAAATAGATTCTATCTTAACTTTTGAATATATAATGGACAGTTACTGTTGTTCAAACAACAAACTCAATGATTAGAGTTTCATCCCTATTAATCAGTTCATTTCGTTATATACAATTTGAGAATGGATGTAGGAAAGTGGCAGATTAACTCACATGCAGACTTACTGACTCTCGATTACTCATGTTTCTCGAACTTCAGATATGATAATGACTATCTCGAATAGTTAATCACTAAAGCAGGAAACTTCTCTTTCAACAAATAATTATAAGATTTGGGTGTGGGTGTGCATAAAAGTGTTAACTATCAGCTATAGTATATGAGACATTTATCGTCTCTATAAATTCTTTGTCTACTTGTGATTATTTGTGCATCCTTGCTCAATGCCGCTATTTCCTCTTGTTTTTTAAAGAAATCTTGCAAAACATGTAAATAGTATATTAGAAATTTCTTTTGTGCTTTCCTGAAAAGTTTTTACAGGGAGAATCTTTCCATATGGAGCTGTTCACGAGAACAACTTTTCTCGGGTGCTTATATCTGAGTGATCAATTTTTCAGGTGGAACTATCCATCAGCCTCACATACGTCCTTCAGATTCTGGACAATTTTAATTTACATTTATAGTCTACTTCCAAATAAAGCTACTTGAAAAAATAATACGCAAAGAGACTGTTTTAATCATAGGACGATATCACACAAGTCCTTCCAGTAAGGAGTTCAATATATCTCCTTGGAACGTAAGTTCTACACGTTTTGGATACTTTTCGTATAGGCCTTTCTTCTGTGTCACGTTGCATAGTGACTTGGGTAATGTCTTTTGTAAGAGAACAGTGTCCCGATTATTTTGATATGCATTTTGATCTGCACCCTATAGCTCAACACATAGGATTCTTGTGTATGTTGAAATGCCTTGATAAAAGTGTTTCGTTTCCTTCGTTTTCATTCTGTGAATGCCGTCAGTGGTTCTTCCCTTCCTCTCATTTGATTGTATTGGACATGTCCACCTGTTCTTTCCTCGTTATCTCTTTGTGATCACTTTGAAATCTTTAGTTATTACTGGGAAATTTCCAGCCACCTTCTGCGGATTTTCCCCATTCTTCTGATTCTTCTCTATCTCAATCTCTCGATATAAAGCCTTTCATGTTTAAACAAATTTAACGTTTAATTGTGTGAAATTAAATGGATGAACAAAAAATTCATATTCGCCACTGTATGCTCTACGAATTCAATCAGGGCTTAACAGCAGCTGAGACAACAAGGTTTATTACTGGTACATATGGTGAGGAAGCTGTCGATAGTTACATTTGTCGTCCTTGGCTTGCCAAGTTTCGTTCCGGAGATACCAGTGTGAGGGATAAATCTCGCTCTGGGTGACCTGTGGACTTTGACGATGAAGTATTGGACGTTTTGCTCCACGCTAGTCCACGTCAGACAAACCGCGAATTGGTCGCACAACTCAGCTGTTCATATATGACAGTGGATCGTCGGCTTTGTGCTTTCGTCAAGATTCATAAGTACGGAAATGGGTTCCATAGAAATTATCCATAGGCAAGTTGGCTCAGTGAGCATAAATTTATGCTTCATTGTTTTCTCGATAGAAGCATGAGCCATTTGTGAAACGAATTGTTACTGGAGACGAAAAATGGGTGTGTTACGTCAACGTCCGTCGGCGGTGGCAGTAGCTTGATCCTGGTCAAAACCCATTACCGGATATAAAACCAAACTCGCATCCAAAGAAGATAATGTTGTGTATCTGGTGGAATATGAAGGGCATAACCGATTTTGAGCCTTTAGATGTCAAGGAAACGATTACCATCGATGTCTACTCTCAATAACTGCAGCGATTGCATGAATTTCTACTTCAAAAACGATCGAGGTTGGCGCATCAAAAAGACATCATCCTCCTTCATGACAACAACTGACCTCATATAGCAAAGTTGACTCGGCAAACAATCAAACAGTTGAGATGCGAAATTCTTATGCACCCGCCATGGTCTCCAAACCTAGCACCATCCGATGATTGTTTGCTCATATCGCTCCGTAATTATTTGTCCGACAAACACTACAAAGACTACGATGAAGTCAAATCTGGCCTCACGGCCTTTTTATAATCTAAACTGGTTAGTTCCTACAAGCATGGGATTGAACTATTGCCAGCAAGATGAACGAAGGTTGTCAAAAGCAACAGTGATTATATTGCTGATAGATGTTGCACATCTCTGCTGAAAAATAAATTTCCTGATAAAGCAAAACAAAATATGCAGAACTTATGTACCAAAAGAATAAATGTTCTGATTGTGATGCCAAATTAATAATAAAATGAGTATTTCCATCATAGATTTCTGCTAAAGCACGATTTTTACTTGTTGATGAAAATCCAAGCAATTCTTTTGGATTTTATTTAATAGAATTTTTGTAAGCACTAATTTCATCAAGTTTTAATGAAGCACTACAAGAAACTAAACCTGTAAATTGATATTTTGATTTTAAATTTTCTGATGAAAGACTATTCCAAAGAAAATCACAAAAAGGTCCTAAAGTATCAACTTTTGATGGATCTTCTTCGCTCAATGCTTTATTTAATAATTTGTAAAGAAAACATTCTCTTGTATATAAAAATAAACAACGTAAAGCAATTTCATCCCATGATTTTTCTTTTACTTCCAATAATTGCTCTGCTAACCATTGACTTACACAATTTTTCCAAGTAAACGACCTTCTTCTAAAATACCTTGTGCCGCTTTTTCAACACGTTGAGTTAATGTTATACGTGGATTTCTTTTAATCCATTCTTCAATAAATTTTGGTGACATCCATCTAGCTTCATCTCCAAAAGATTTTCTTCGTGTATTTAATGAATTATGACTTGGTAAAGTAAATCGTTCTTCTCTTAAACATTGAAGATTAATATCCGATATTCGTTTAATAGGTCTTTGTTTTGTTGAATCCGCTTTATTAATTTGTACTAAGTGTTTAACATCAATTATAAAATTATCTAATTCAACATGTGAATATTTTTTTTCATAAGAATTTTCAATGATAGTCATTTCAATGTCTGAATATCGTTTCCATTTTTCTTCTATATTTATTGGCGAAGGATCAGAATTTGATTTCCATAACCATTGATATGCATTCGACATGATTAAATTTTCATTCACAATTTTGAAAAAAGAAATGTTCGAGATGTTTTATCGATTATTTGATCATTGAGTTCAGCAAATGTTTTATTTTCTGGAAGAAAATAATATATATATGCGGTAGCCCAAAAGTCGTTAGGCAGGCTTTGGTTGCAAATAAATTTTGAAAACAGTAAGATAGAGAGCTACCACTTTCACCGTTTAAAAGCGACGGTATCACTGCGTAGTTTTATACATTATTCAACGGTACGAACCAATGACCAAATGATTGATTAGTAATCTTCGGAAAAAAATATTAAGAGCTTCACGAATATAGCGAAGATATTTAATGCTATGGAGTGCGTTAGATTTGTGTAATCATATCTATTCACACTCACATCAGAAACGAAATATTTACCATCTTTCGCTCAATATTTATACGTGAAAGTACAGGCGGTGAAAGTTCAGGTGAGTCACCGATACGGGATTCAACACACTTCGTGGAACTAAGTATCTTCGTCATTTTTTTTCTCGAACTATCAGTGTTTTTTCTAAGGATTACTGATCAATCGTTTTATCGTCAACCCGTATTGGTGAATAATATATGAAACTCCGCAGTGACACAACCTCTTTCGAACGGTGAAAGTCACAGCTCTCTATCTGATTCCTATCAAATTTATTCGCAATCAAAGACTCCTCGGCGACTTTTGTACCACCCTGTATACCCAATGTAAGAAATTGGGATTAATAATCAGATTAAAAATCGATTATAATGGCACTATTATAATCCGATTTTAATCAGATCTTTCAACTTGAAAAGACAGATTTGATTTGATTTCGATTTTTTTCCTAATTTATTTTAATCGATTTCCTACAGCATCTATAATAATCGATTAAAATAGATAAAAAGTCGAAATCAAAGAAAATCTGTCTTGTCAAGTTGAAAAATCGCATTAAAATCGGATTATAATAGTGCCATTATTATCGATTTTTAACCTGATCATTAATTTAAATCTTTTTACATGGGATAATAGATGAATTTATTATAGTTAATATTATAGCATTTTATCACTATGAATTCAAAGTTTCAATTGGTAAATTCAGTGCAATTATGTCCTTTCAACAATTTTTGAAACTTGCGTCAAAGAAACTTCAATCTGATATAGAATGGACTTATTTTGACTTTAAATATAAACCTAATGATTAAAGTAAGTGACACTTCACAGAAATCAACTTCTAATTATCGGTCATTACGTCCCTAATAATGTCGTAGGAAACTTTAATGGTTCGTTTTCTATGACTTTAATGGAAAAAATAGTCACAATAAATCATTACCTAGCAAATTCGTCCATGGTTCTCAGGGAATTTCTTTAATTTAAATGATAAGAAAGATCCTTGAGATTTTTAAAAGTTGTTAGTTTTTGATATCTTTCATGATACTGATGACGATTGTGGAATTCAATATATTGTCATTCTCGTTGAATGTAATGAAGGGCATGAGTGCAATAGTAGATAAAGAACTCAGCCTAATAAAAAATATGAAATGTGCCTCATGTCGCTCGTTTGTTTGCATTGCTGCCAATGTGTCGCAGTATTCATAAGAACAGGCGGTATAGCGACGATTTACGCGTGTAGTGCTTAAGACTTTCCGTTCCGGCTCTGAATAATTTTAGAGAGTGCTTTTACCCAAATTCGAATTATTTCTTAGACAGAATTGAAATTAGTCCTAGACAAGAACAGTTGCAGAATATATTTTATGAATCAAAACTGATCTTGTAACCGAGGTTGCTTTGCGCTCTGTCGATAGTATGGACGACTAGTACGCATCAACATGACCAGAGTATTTCAAAATCCATTGCATTCTGTAGATTTTTACATAGTTCACAAATGTTCATCCGCTGTAATACAATACACTATGATGCAACATTTTCAAAAAAAATGACGGTATGCCGCCGATATAGCACATATTATACCAATAAATATACTGAGGATTTACCATCAGTCGTTATCGTATGGACCTTGAGCGCAAGACTTAATGAGAAGTCACTCGTAAACATCATAAAAAAATCATTTTCTTTCCCATTTTATCAAAAATCACGTTTAGGTAATAATACATCGTCGCATAGATGTTGCTGACTAATACATAAGAAAACGAATAGAACCAAATAATATATAAAAAGTATAAGATAAACATGACAGTATGAAAGCGATTCTCTTTTGTTTTACCATTTTTTGGTTTTCTATCCTGATGATAGGTTGTTGTAAACAAAGAAGCAAACAAAACATATGTGCCGCATCTCTTCATGAATACAAGAAGAAGAAAAGAGTGAAGAGACAGCAAAATAAATCACTAGTTTTATTATTGGTGTGCATAATGTATGAATATATGGTTGATCTTTTTTCCGTTAAAAATTGCTTGTCGCTCACCGGTGATTGATAAAGTGAGCAATTGTTGTCCTTAGTCGACTCCACTTCCTTGATTATGTAATCATTAAAACAAACGATTTACAATAAATCACATATTCACTAAATCCTATGCTAAGAAAAACAAAAGATATTCCATACGAGAGCTACTAATTCGAGACCGATAAGACGAATCCAAGATGCAGACGAATACCAACTCTTGAGACATTAGAAAAATCCGCATTGAAAATCTTTTTACAAATTAGCTAATTGAAAAATTAAAACCATTTCCTTTTTAAATCTTCAAGTACTCGTCAAGTATATGCTTGACTACCCTACACTCAGTATTTTCACACGGGAAGCTATGGCTTGTTATGGAGGATATTTTACTTTAGCTGAAAATTTCATTTTAGTTATTACTTGTTTCTATTATCATGCTTTCTTTTACGCACATACGCCTGCATTACGAGACGTGTCTTTTATCAGTAATGAAAGCAGCTTAAAATATTCAAAAATAACTAACTTGAATGTTAGGAAAACGTGCATCCTTGAGCTATGAAAAATGAATAAATCAAATGAACACCAAAAGAAACACTAATCCTTCGTATGAATGATTGATAACCTTTATTAATATTAATGAAAGTCTTTTCAGAGAAGGTGCATGTTCAGAATGATATGATTCTTGAGTGAGAGAGAGACCCAAGATCGTATTTGATATCATTCATAGAAATTGAAGGATGGGTATTTTTGTCATTTCTAATTCGTACAAAAATCATTATTATATTCATATATGTATTAGTTTCAAGCTCTAATAGGTTTGTTGTGCTTATTTTTCGAGACAAGATAAATAATATTTTATCATGAACCATGTTCAAATTTTATTGTTATCAAAAGTGATATATAGTGACAGTCAAAATTATCCCAACATGTGTAATTTCGATTTTTTCCTGTGATAGAAAACACTAAAAAGAATCCAAATAGGCGATTTATGTAGAGCAAATTGTTTCCTACAAGAAGTCAGGAAAATTAAAAACATACAATTTAGTTTGCAACAAAGGATCTCTAGAAGACGCAAACTCTAGTTTTTCAAATTCTAAATCCCTGAAATATATTCCCGTTTTTACTTAATAGAATGATAGAGCAAGCAAAGCTCTACAAAATGAGATGTTCTCGAACTCCGTACGATATTTTTTGACTGACATACCTCAACTTTACGGAGACCCAAAAATCGTTCTTTTTGTCGTTTTCCATGTAAAAAACCATTTTAAGGTCTTGCGTAAAATTGATGCATCTCGGTCAAAAGACATCGTACGGAGTTCGCGAACGTATCCTTTTGTATAGATTTGTTTGCTCTATCATTCTGCTTAGTAACAACGAGATTTTACTGCAGGAATTTAGAATTTGAAAAACTAGGATTTTGCTTTTCTAGAAATCCTTTGTTGCAAACTAAATGGTTTGTTTTTAAGGCTCCCCCCCCCCCTCAAAAATCTGTCTCGGGCTAGGAACATCCAAATTGTGTGAAACTTTCAGGATATGCTGGGGCTGGAGAGGAAAGACTACCGTAAAATTTTCGGCCCGAAATCTTCAGGTTTTAGGGAGATATGAACCAAGCAAAGGTCAAAAATGACTCATTTGGCATCCGAAATTGTTTGGTCCTGGTTGCGTTTAATATATTAATATTTTTTTTTTGAAAAGAGCATCTCAAGATGCAGGGCATGATGGGGCTTTTTTTTGAAATAGTCTTCTTTTTGAGCGCCGAAAAGAGATCACAAGTTCAATTACTGAAAAAAGTGTCAAAAAATGGTAACCAAATCATATAACTGGCTCTATATTGACCAAACAAAGGCTTAATTAAAAAAATGGCCCCATAATGCCCTGCGCGTTGAGACGGTCTTTTAAACAAAACAAAGATATTAATGCAGTGAACGAACCAGGAACGAGAAATTTGGGATGTGCTTTTGAGAAAACGGAAACTGAGAAAAAACGAAAAACATTTTTTGATTTTTCAAAAAAACAGCTGGTTTTTCGAATAGGGAGTGACGAAAATCTTCGAAAATTTTGGACAAAAAGGAGGTATCGAGGAAAACTTTTTATCAGTTATGAAAGAGCAGATCACGGGCTATCTTCCCATGTATTTATCTCAATTTCGATGATTCTGACGAAAAGTGACTTTTTTAGGGCGGGGGGGGGGGCCTTAAGGCTTGTAACGTAATATCTTATGTACGTCGGTTGGATTGGTTGATTTTCTCTGATTTCCTTGAATTGCGAATTCGCGGATCCTAGGGGTATCTCAACTATGTGACTACTGATGCAGTCTAACATTGCACCATTCTGCAATACTTTCGCTTGTATTGAATGCTAAATGAAATACATCGCAAAGTACAGAGAATCATATCCAATGGCAACAAAATAGCGTATTTTATTTATCTTCGCTAAGAAAATGCATTCGATAACAAATTTTGCATTTTGCTGTACCAAAAACTTTTATCCATGGTTTCGAAGTGTTTCCTATTCTCCTTATGTTCTGTTTTGTACCGCTTCAACTGCCATCTCGCGGGTTCTATTTTCAAAAGATTCGATTTTAACGACTCGCAAAGCCTTTACTCATTAGTGCATCCTAT